TCACGTGCTAAAGCACGAATTGATTCGTCTACACTGGCATACCTACGGGTTAACCACATCAAAAACACGCTGGCCTTTGATATAAAGATGAGTGTATGCAGAACGAACATTGTTGTCAGCTTTTAAATTACTATTTTGGGCGAACAATACTTCCGTCGCACTTTAGGCGAAGCTAAACCGCTTGTGCTATAGTTATTGAATATTATAATATCAACCCTCACCTTGTGATCCGTTGACATTCTATGTCCCCCATGACACATTACACTCGTTTTCACTTTTTAAAGAGGCTGTATTGGAAGTCACAAAGGCGGCACGGAATGCTCGAAGTGGGTCGTCGATCTTGAAAGATCCAAGGACCTGTTTTATCCCTTGTTAAGGAGTTTCAGGATGTGGTGTGTTGCGATCCACCTTTCACTCTGCCTCCCGATAGGGACGTACGTCATGAAATTGACCTGGTTCCTGGAAACTGTGTGACATGGCAATGGCCACTTCCAAAGGAGCAGTGTGAAGTCATTGACGAGTTCTTTCGTGCAAAGCACGCGGCTGGCATGGCGTGTGAGAGCAAGTCTCTGCACTCGACACCGACATTTTGTTTCAGAAAGCCGAACGGCAAGTGGCGTATTGTGCATGCTTACGATAAGCTTAACGCAGCCACTATACCGGCACAGACGCTAATTCCTAGAAAGGATGTTCTTCAAAACGCTATGGTAGGTTGCACCATGTTCAGTGCACTCGATTCGGTCGATAGGTATTATCAACTGCTCATGCGAGCGAGCGATATCCCGCTCACAGCGGTTAGTACTCCAAGTGGTATGCTTTGGGAGTGGCTTGTTATGCCTCAAGGGTTGTATAATGCCCCGGCTACATTCAATCGTCTTGTTACGCAATTGTTCCGACCTCAACGTGTCTACACACAAAGCTAATTTGATGCCATCTTTTCCATGGTAGTGCAGAAAATGGTAGGTAGAATCTGGATAATCAAATTGACCATTTACGAGCAGTGCTCGAGTGCATGCGTACAAATAAGCTATACGTAAATACATCTAAAGGCATTTTTGGTGCGGAAGGAGTTCCCGTTTTCGGTGCTTCATTGGGAAGTGTGGCCTTCGAGCGGATTCCGCTAAGGTAAAGTCCATTGTTGACTGGCCAGTTCCGTCAAACAAAAGGACTTGCGTAAATCGCTCGACCTTGCTAATTACTTTTACAATTATATTGCAAACTATGCTGAAATGGCAAGGCCATTAACCAACCTTTTCAAGAAGGGTGCAGCTTGATGTTGGTCCGTGCTCAACTTTTGTAGCTATAAAGGACAGCTTCCTTTATGCTTCAATTTTGGCTTTGCCTGAACCTGAGTGGCCTTTCAGTGTCGTCTGTGACGCGTCTGATATTTTCATCAGTTTTGCATTATTGCAGACAGATGTCGATGGACATGAGCGTGTTATTGCGTATGAATCTCGTCAGCTCAAGGCTGCAGAGAAGAACTATCCAGCTCACAGCAAATAGTTGCTCGCAATGTAGCCAGGAAAGTAAAATGCTTTGGCTGATGCTTTGTCACGCATACCTTATTATGAGCTTGCTCATATTACGACTCTGTCGTCACCCATTGTGGATTTGGTTCGTGCAGCATATGCACGTGATGAGCAATTTGCAGCATTGCTACATGCCCTTGGAAGAGAGGATTTAAAGACTCTAACTTCAATTTGTCGGCATGTTTACGTGCGAGCCTTCATCGATGTGTCATCGATGGTGGGTTGTTGTGATTTTGCACGGGTGTTGAGGATGTGCCTCGTATCGTTGTTCATCATGATGAGGATTTGAAGCACCGCATCCTCTTCGAGGCACGTGACACTGCTTTGAGCGGTCATCATGGTCGTGAGAAGACCTATAGCTCAGCTAACAGACGTATTGGTGTCCCACGTTGTACAAATGTGTGAGCGCATGTGTGTGCACATGTGAAACGTGTCAACGGGTCAAAATCTCAGTACATGCGGTTGCACCGCTTGCTAGTTTGCTCGTACCCACTGGATGTTGGGAGTCCATCATTATGGACTTTGTGTTTGGCCTACCGAAGGATTCGGAAGGCAACACCAGTATTGTGGTCTTTGTTGACCGTTTGAGCAAGATGGCTCATTTAGCAGCTGTGCCTGCTTCCATCAATGGTGAAGACACAGCAAAGCTGCTTATCGAACGTGTGTTTCGTCAAAACATTTTACCTGTGGCAATTTTCTTGGATCGCGATCCACGTTTCACTGGCAAGTTTTGGACTTATCTCAAAGTGCTAGGCACCAGGTTGGACATGCCCACAGCGGATCATCCGCAGACCTATGCTCAAACTGAGCGTGTCAACCATGTCATTGGTAACATTTTACGCAGTGTTTGTGCTGATAAGCCTAGGCGTTGGACATCGATGCTCCGTGTGGTTGAGTTTGCGTTGAACCACGCTGTTCATGCCTCTACGGGATTTTTACTCCATTCTACGTGAATGGTCTCACTCAACCACGCGTTCCGTTAACGCTACCACTGCGTGGTTCTGGGATTGGTGGGGGAGGAACAACCGATCGGCTTGCTGATGCCAGCCCTAATACCGATCAGAAACAGGTTAGCTACTTTCTCGCTAGGCGATTGAATATCTTACGACATGTACGTGATGCAATGGCTTCTATTTAGAAACAAACAATCGGAACAAACTGATGTCAAAGGCAGAAAGTGTAATGAGAGTTATGAAATTGGAGACCTAGTATTACTGAGCGCTCAGAATCTACCTACCGAGGTGGTTTCAGCGGTCTATAAGACCAAGTTGCGTCCTTGCTTCATCGGGCCGTTTAAAATTGTGGCCAAGAAGGGCCTAGCGTACACGCTCAACCTTCCACGCAAAATGCGAACATACCCAGTGTTCTACGTCGGCTTGCTTAAGCCTTACCTTGACCCATCGCGGGTGGATCACGATTCGCTTGCGCCGAAGGAGTTGGCGCTGCCACGAGTCGAGGGATCCTAAAGAGAAGATCCAGTTGTCCCTCAAGACGCACCACTCGGCCACGCAGACTGAGCACCTCGTGCACTAGCTCGTCGATGTCACGTCAAGATTCACCTACCACCGCCTGCTCTCGTTGAAGAGCACGGGGATCAACAGTACCATGTTTAACGCCTCCTACAGATACGTCGTCGCGACGGGCAGTACCAGTACTTGGTACAGCGGCGGGGGTACCTGGATTTGGAGAACTCATGGAAGCACGAAGTGCCACTGCGGAAGGATCGTCCGTACGCCGTTGACGCTTTGACATCTTCTTCAGGTTCAGTATACCCATATCGCTTCCTTCTAGTCGGTGTGAGAGTGGAGAGGGTTGCAGCTACAGCAGGTGCAATGATGCGCGGGTTAGTAGCTGCCGCAACCATAGCGGGTGCGATAGAACGATCGCAGTCGGCCTTTGGACTTTTGTTTTGAGAAATCAAAGTGCGGCTTTCGATCGAGCCGAACGTTAGCAAGTAAAGCGCTCTCTCGGAGATTCCACAGACTTGGCAGACGACGTGCTCTGTGAGACCAACGCATGAAGATGACATCATTTTCCGCCTCCGTCTCACCAGGAAAGCGAACGATGGGTATTGTCCGCATGTTGGACACTGATGCACCTCGTGCTTGCAGATTCAGCCTGTCAACGTACTCTTGAGCGGTCATAAGATCGACACTCAGGTATCTCGCTCTGAGGGCTTCCTTCTCCGCTATTGTTATGGCTGTGTCAGCCTTAGGTCCCGTGATCCATGCTGCGAGTGACTGCCGGTAGTCTGACGAATGCGTTCATTTACATTCGGTCGTGTGAAGCGGTATCCACTGTGAGCATTGGCTATGGTTACAATTTGTGCTTGGCGCCTGCGGTCGTCGATCGACTGAAGATATAGTTCTTGATCTTCATCGAGAGTGTTGTGCAACAAATTCGACGCAGGGTCGACGACTGCACGCTGTGCAAGGGGTGAAGTTACCTCATCGCGTTCCGCAATTGGATTCGGCGCGATGTGCGTGTTGTCACGCGCCGGTGGCGTGGCTGGAGGGTGGTCGTAGATGCTTGACGCGACGGTGTCACTTTCATAGTCCACCATACCCTCTTCGAGGAATTATTCCAGGATGCTGGACGAAGGCTTTGACTCAGTCATTTTGAGATGTGTTGTGAACACGATGGTCAAGAAAAGAGCTTTGATAGACCTCAAAGCGAAGTTAAAGAATTGTCGACACAAGGGACGGCAGTTTGGTGGGGGAAGGTGTAATGGGGTTACACGTGGTTATTCGAACCGGTTATGCAGTGTGTCCACATCAAGCAAAGATCGGTGGATTTGGGTGGTACAGTCTTGGTACCACGTACTCACGGCAATACCGCACCTTGTCGAGTAAGGATAAGGGATAAGACTCCTGTCATGGGTTCTATTCCAGAGCCAGTCCTGCAACTGTTTTACACCATTAAACTTAACGGGTAAAATCCTGTTACTTAAAAGCCAGACATGGTTTTATAGGGGTTTAGTACCTGTAACGGGGTGAATCGTTACATAACAATTTATAAGAAATTGTTAATAGAATATAACTATAAGAGTTATATTCTCAGAATATTGTCATAAGGACAAATATTCTGTAGCACTTACGAGTAGTTCCTAATTGGTTGATATAGGCCATTATATCAACCAACGAAGACGCGCCACGACAGACGCACGCAATGAGTGGTGAGCAGATAATTGATTTACACATTTGTATTTAGACATAGTTAGATGAAGATAAATAGTGATTGATTAACAGACACTAACTATACTAAATACAGTTATACTTTTTACTTTAACCAAGTACTTGCTTCTTCTTACCGTCTTCCTCTGCACGTACGAGTGTACGTGAAGTTACGAGGCACCGCCTTATTCTGTCATCAGAATAAGTAGCTTGTACTGTCACCAGTACAAGCTTCAGGGTGCCCCGTTACACCTGGTAGCACTTCGTAGTCCGTCCAAGGACCACGTTCACATCTAACATGAATATGTTGGATGATGGAGATGACCAAAGCTTTCACGCTACGCGAGACGGCTACTCCCATTTGAGCGATGTCGAATGGGATGCGGTTGAACGGATGGGTTCAACCATGGGCATCCATGCTGTTAGCGTCATGCTAGAGGCTCTCAATAGAGATGCCCAACATGCTACTATCGCCAAGTTCATTCAAAATGAACTTGACGCTGAACGCGAGAAAGTAGCCTTGCTTCACCAACAAGGTTCTCAACAAGCAGAGTTGTTGAGAGAACAGAGTGCTCAACAGTTTGAACTGTTGAGACAGCAGCAGGCTGCTGCTGGTGGGTCGATGCACTCGCGTCGACCCGAAACCTTGAAGATTGACATCTCCAAGTATAGGGAAGTCGAAGAGGACTCCCTCTTGTGATGGTTCGTCGAATTGGATGACGCCATAAGGGCGCGCCGCATCGACGACGGGGATATGCAAGTTGCATTTGCCCAGTCAAATCTGGCAGGACGTGCCAAGACTTGGGCACTGGGGCTCAAGTTGCACGACCCATATGCGTTTGGGTCGTTGGAAGTCTTCAAGTCGCGGCTCAGACAAACGTTTGAACCGCCTAGAGCTGAGTTCAGAGCTTGAACCGAACTCTTGAAGCTCAAGCAGGGTAAGCGTGATTTGCACGCTTACGCTCAACATGTACGACATCTCACGAGTTGTATAAGTTCCAATCCGGTGGATGAACACACGTTGGTTTCGGTGTTCATGCAGGATCTTGCGGATGGTCCCGTCAAGACTCACCTGTTCCGGCTTGAACTAGATTCACTAGAACAAGCCATTTCCATTGCGGAGCAGGAAGACTTCAGTCTGAGACAGGCTCGCGCCAGCTCGACATCATATCGTCAACCGAGACGATATGACAACGGAGGTCCAGAGCCAATGGAACTCTGTTATGTAGAGAGCGAGAAGGCTCGCTCTACAGGCTACAAGAAGTTGCAGAGATGCAACAGATGTCAAAAGACAGGACACTACGCTTACGAGTGTAGTGCCCCTCGTCCAGTGTCTCGCGACACTGGGCGTAGTGACCGTCCACCCATGAGAAAGGGGCAGGGACGAGGGTCCGCAGTTGGTGCAAAGACGCAACGGGATGGACCGTCAAAAAACCGACAGGATCAGTAGGTGCGGAGCACCCTACTGATCCAGCAACGTCAAGAGAAGATGTAGGCCTCTTGATGAAGGTTGCTCCCAACACACAAACGTTGTGCGTTGCTGCTCTAGGTAATGAGGTCTCACTCATTACCTTGAAACTAGAAGTGACGAATAAGTTGTCCCTTCGAGCTCTAGTCGATTGTGGGGAGTCCAACAATTTTGTGCGACGTCAATCGCTAGAAGATGGTCACTATAAGTTCAGTGAATGTGACACACCTCCTACGAGGATGACGGTACGTCTTGCGACAGGCGCATCCGTAACCGTCATGAAGCGTATAGTGAAGATCCACTATACGCTAGAAGCTACCCAATATGACGATGACTTTATCGTATTGGATTTGGATGACAAATTTGATGTCATCCTTGGAATACCGTGGCTCAGAAGGTACGAACCACGGGTTAACTGGCAACATCGAACAGTAACGATGCCTGCCGCTTGTTCATCAGATGGCCATCTGATGAACGTTTTGGAGCGTCCACAAGCTTGTGGATGTACTACGAGTGAGTGCGATGGCCTCACTTGTGGTACGGTCGTTAGTACGACTGCGCAAAACCTTAGTGTACCAAACGGTTACACTTCGGAGCAAAGTTCCGGCGGCTGTGAGGAAACACAGGCTGCGCCGAAGGTCCACCACTCGAATAAGTCGGGTGGACTGGGACAAAGATGTATCCCTAGCGGGGAACATCTAGAAGAGAAACAATCGATCGCTCAGGCTAAGCGAAACGATAATCATAGATCGACTGGAGAGTCTTTCGTAGAGGATCTCGCTGTGGTTGCGCAACCCCAGCTAGAGGAAGTAAAGGGAATAAGTCCCAAGATTACAAATACGGCGGAAATAAGTTCCCCGAAACCCGCGGGAATAAGTCCCCGGGAAGCCGAAGGAATAAGTCCTTCGAAGCCTGAGGGAATAAATCCCCAGGAAATGACAGAGACATTGAATGTCATAGTTAATTAGGGATCAAGTGTAGGCGCTTATACACTTGATCTGATTGCGCCTCCGAAGTTAACTTCGGAGATCACTCAGTTGCCAACGCTCGAACATAAAAGGTTCTTGCGTGATCTGCGTAGTGGCAAAGTCAAGCAGATCTGCATACTCGTCGCTGACGACGAGTGTGTAACCGACATAAGGTCAGCAACAGTGTTTACTGAGAGCGAGAGAGTTCTCAGTAGTTCATCTATGGACGAGAGTGTCCTAGATGAAAAGACACGAATTGAGTGATATGACTCCCAATCATGGGAATCGCTCAAGAAAAATCCTCTCTATGAAGATTTGGTTGAATTCAAGGATGTATTCCCTGAAACTGTTCCGTGCGAATTACCGAAGGATAAAGGTATTCGACACGAGGTCGAGCTTAAACCAGGCTCGAGGTACTGTGTCATGAAGCAGTGGCCACTGCCTCGTGAACAAGTACTTGCGATCGACAAGTTATTTGCCTATCGTTTAGCTGCGGGCCATGTGAGGGAATCAACTTCCCCACATAGCTCTCCGACCTTCTGTGTGCGAAAAGCAACAGGAGGGTGGCGGATAGTGCACGCGTTCAACAAATTGAACGCTGAAACGGTACCGGCTCAGACGCCGATACCGAGGAAGGACGTAATCATTGATGGTATGTCAAAGAGTACCATCTTTTCGTCCATGGATTTGATGGATGGCTTCTATCAAATCCTTATGCGAGAACGGTATATACCCTATACCGCAGTTAGCACGCCTAGCGGCATGCTCTGGGAATGGCTAGTAATGCCACAAGGGCTTAGTAATTCCCCTGCCACGTTCAACAGATTTGTATCGAATCTGTTGAGACCAGTACGAGAATTCGCGCCGAGTTATTTCGATGACGTATTCATCCATAGTCGAGCTATGGATGGAAAGTCTGACGTTGAGGTTCACAGGTACCACGTCCGACAGGTTCTTACAATCATGCGAAAGCATCAATTGTATGCTAACCTCAAGGAGTGTATATTTCCAGCAAGCGAAACACCACTTCTTGGGTGCATCGTTGGTAAGAACGGTGTACGTCCTGATCCCGAAAAGATCAAGGCGATCACCGACTGGCCTGTGCCAGTTGATGTTAAAGGTCTTCGAAAATTCCTTGGGCTAGCGGCGTATTTGCACAAGTATTCACGCAATTACGCCGAGATGACTGTGCACCTCTCTCGTTTGTTGAAAAAGAACGAGAGGTGGTTATGGAACGCTGAATGTCAGCGCTCCTTTGAGGGTATCAAGCAGAGCTTGATACAATCCCCAGTCCTAGCAATAGCCGATCAGAACAGGCCATTTCATGTGGTCTGTGATGCCAGCGATTTCGCAATCGGCTGTGCATTAATGCAGTAAGATCTTGAAGGCGTTGAACGCGTCGTCTGCTATCAGTCGCGTCAGCTGCAACCAGCTGAGCGGAACTATCCAGTGCATGACAAGGAACTCCTTGCCATGAAGTATGCACTCGCGAAGTTCAGAGTCTATCTATTAGGAGATAGACCCTTCATTGTTTACACTGACCATGCGTCATTACGCACGGCAGTGAACAGCCCGCACCTTTCACAACGAATGGCGCGGTGGTTGTCATTCTTTGCAGAATACAACTTTACAGTCGAGTACAAACCAGGACGACTTAATGTCGTCGCTGATGCACTCTCACGTCGTCCCGACTTTGAATCAGTCGTGAAACCCAACAGTGAGACAGTCACTGTTGCGGCTCTGACGTCCTCAGTACCACCTTCAACGTTGTATGATGATGTGAGGCGGGCATACACCCAAGATGGTGAGATTGTGAAGTTGTTGACACATCTCTCACAGCCATCTCGAGAATCGTTGAAACGATTGTCGTCTGCGTATCGATCTGCATCAGATCGATACACTACTCGCAACGGGTTACTGTATTATACAGCCGTTTCTGGTGACACACCACGTGTTGTCATTCCAGATGATACTGATCTGCGTTTGCGGATCATGTTCGAGTATCATAATGCTCCTATAGGAGGACATCGTGGCCGAGAGAAAACATATCTCACGGTGAGTCGAGACTTTTACTGGCCCCGCCAGTATCAGTTTGTGCGAAAGTATGTTCGCGCATGCGAAGTCTGCCAAAGAGTGAAGTCAAGTCCTTCACTGCGTGCACATTTACAGCCTCTACCGGTTCTGGCTGAGTGCTGGGAATCCATCTCAATGGATTTCGTCTTCGAATTACCCAAATACGCACGCGGGAATACGGGTATTCTCGTATTTGTTGACAGATTCAGCAAAATGGTACACCTTGTATCTGTACCAGAGACAATCACGGCAAGTGGCTGTGCTTGCGTCTTTATTGACACCATCTTCCGACTTCATGGGTTGCCCCGTGAACTCGTATCAGACAGAGATCCACGATTCACTGCTGATTTCTGGCGTTCCGTGTTCAAATCACTCGGAACGCGCTTGAAGATGTCGACATCTGATCATCCAGAGACAGATGGTTAGACGGAACGTGCCAATCGTGTCCTTGAAGAGATACTTCGAGGATACGTACACTCCTTTAAGAGTTGGAGTGAGTTTTTGCCAATGGTAGAGTTTGCCATTAACAACTCGGTGCATGCGTCCACGACACATACACCGTTTTACGTGAATGGCTTGCGCCATCCGCGTGTACTCACCTTACTAGAGTATAACTCTGGTTTAAGGGGGGGAATCGCGCGAGCAAAAACTGATTTGGTTCACGCTCATCACGCTCTGACGAAGAGGTCATTGCGTTTGATGCCGATATCGATAACATCGATATCGAAGAAGATGATGCCAGTGAGAGTGCGGAAGCCCTCACTGAAGAAAAGGTTGATGTTGCTACAGTGCGCTGTGAGCGCACTGTAGCTAACGAGTCAGCAGATGAGTACATACTGGCTCGTGAAACGGTAGTCCGTTTTGTGCAAGACTTCATCGCCGAAGCGGTGGATAAGCAAAAGCAAAACGCTGACAAGAATGGAAGGTCAAACACATTTTTATGTAATAAAGGTGACTTAGTCCTACTGTCTACGGTTAATCTATTAAAGCATGTAGTGATTAACTTGGGTAGCAGTAAACTACTACCCAAGTACATCGGCCCATTTCGTGTATTGCACCGCCTAGGCAATGCATACACGATCGAGTTATCACGTAAGATGCGAACGCATCCCACGTTTTACGTTGGTCGGCTTAAGCCGTACCATCAGTACGCTGCTTCTTCCGATGAAGAACGCCCTTGCGCTCAAGCATCTCGCAGAGAGCCTTGTGCTCCCGATGGTGGGCATCAACAAGGGTCTGAAGAGCAGCTACCTCATCCCGAGACCGATCAACAATCCCACGAGCTACCCTTTGCTCGTCACGAAGAGATGTCAGAGATCTCTCGTTCTCAAGCTGAGCAAAGGCAAACTCAGCTCGATGCTTCGAGGCAGTGTCCGCCATTTGGAGACGCCTATTCCGCTCATGTTCGAGATCGTCGCGTAACCCTTGCGTTACGCGATCAAAGAAGCTCTTGGGAACACACCGATCCACATGATCGTGCGGAGAGCGTCTTTCCTCCTCCTCCACCTCCATTAGAGGACTCTCGCGGTGGCCAGCGCTATCTAGTTGAGCAGCTGTTGAACCACCGCGACGTGAACGGACGTCGGACGAGTTATCTCGTCCGGTGGCGCGGCTATCCCCCGTCCTGGGATTCTTGGGAGCCCCGCTCCCAATTGATGATCGACGTACTGGGTCTGGTTGAGCAGTACGACGCGGCACATCCTGTGCCTCAGAAGGACCGCCGGAGAAAGTCTTCCCGGCACGGTCGTAAAGTGATTTCAGATTGTCAATCCCTTCGTACATCTCAGTAGAGATACGTACGCGCCACCAAGGGCTAGTAAGGAGGTAATCCTCCTTAGGTGCTCGTGCAGAGTTGTTCACACAACATGGGCACGAGTCTCCCCAAGAGAGGCAGGGTAATTCTTTCTCCCTTGACAGACGATGCAGCTTGTAGCGTGCACCTGTCGGGGTTCGCTTTTCAAACTTATCACGAGCTTTGATAAGTTTGTCGTTCCAAGCGTCACGACCTACATTCTCAAGGTTATGGATGTAGGCGTTCCACGCCTGAAGCAGTGAGGGACCATCACGTTTGTGATTCCCACTGTACCATCGATGTTTGAAGAAAGCATCGATGAAGAATTCATTCTCAGCGCGATAGTTTTTCGCACTGGGGTCAAGGTGATGGATCCTTGACGAATCGAACAATCGTGTTCGATAACGATCACTCGTCGTCGCCGACAAGTGATCCATGACAGATTTTGGAGGCATCCATGCCTTCTTCTCAGGAGCGAGACGCAACACATTGCGGTCCCGCTTTTCCTGCGACGTGCCGACAGAAGTACTGGCACCTCGCTGTGAAGTGGTGTCCATAGGAGAACCGACACCACTGTTAGCGCCCGAGTCTCGCGACCTCGAGCACCTTCGCTTCGGCGATGGTTCATCTGATTCATCAGATGAACCAAAGATGCTGCGACGTAAAGCATCGTCCATGCCACGCTTGGCAGGCGGCTTGGATTCGATCGCCGTCGATACGGATCCGTCTTCCGTATCAGGAGAGTACGAGACACCGAGCTCGTACTCTGTGAAGACATGAGTGTCTTCATGACCAGCGCCTGCATCACCAAGTGACACAGGCTGGGTCGCTTCAGCAACCGATGAGGCATCAGTTGCTGTGGTTTCTGCTTCGGCGTCCGCACAGAGACGTGCGGACGCGCTCTCGGCGGCCTTGCTCGCGCATCGCATGGGCTTGTTAACCATGCGATGAGATGTTGGAAAGTGGACTCGGACCAACAAGTGCAAACCCCGTCCCAAATGATTTGGGACGAGTATCCATTTAGTCAATCAGTCACTAAAGTGACTGATGGTTAAGGGGGGTGATGTAACGGGGTGAATCGTTACATAACAATTTATAAGAAATTGTTAGTAGAATATAACTATAAGAGTTATATTCTCAGAATATTGTCATAAGGACAAATATTCTGTAGCACTTACGAGTAGTTCCTAATTGGTTGATATAGGCCATTATATCAACCAACGAAGACGCGCCACGACAGACGCACGCAATGAGTGGTGAGCAGATAATTGATTTACACATTTGTATTTGGACATAGTTAGATGAAGATAAATAGTGATTGATTAACAGACACTAACTATACTAAATACAGTTCTACTTTTTACTTTAACCAAGTACTCGCTTCTTCTTACCGTCTTCCTCTGCACGTACGAGTGTACGTGAAGTTACGAGGCACCGCCTTATTCTGTCATCAGAATAAGTAGCTTGTACTGTCACCAGTACAAGCTTCAGGGTGCCCCGTTACAGTACCGTAGCTATAGATTAAATAAAGTCCAGTTTCCCTTTTGAATCGTTGCACACAAGTGCCTTGCAGATGCGTAGTGTGTTGTTAACAGCTTTAGCCTTGTGAAGGCATTTACTCTTGTCTAACTAGTAGTGACTAGTTAGTGTGTGATTTTGTGGCTCGTAATCCCTTTAGAGCCGGGATTGTTAAGCTTGGACGCTTGTACGACTGTAATATGTTGTTAGTTGTTATAACGAAGAGACTCTTTGAGTCTAAGACTACCTCGATAAAGGAGCGCTAAGAAGCTCCGTATTTGTGACACACACTTTGTGGTACGGATGCTATTGATGTAACCTAATGCTTTTAAGTGCGTACCGCACTTATGACCTTTTTCTGATTTTTCCGTGTCTTTACACGGAAAGTCTCGTGTAACGATTTGACCGTTAAGGTCAAGTGGACACAATGCACTGATCCTTCAGCATTTTCACGTCATGCGGCAGGTCAAATGTACCACCAGCGCGTGAAATGATACCGCCATGCAAACATTGCTTCGGAAACTGTACGGATGTTGTGCATATGTACCGCTAAACAGGCTCCTCGTCTCCCCTTCTCTTTTCTGTACACGTAGTTAATCAACGTCGTACCAACATGTCTCGTTCACCCATACATCCGCAGTTACATCGCCTTGCGTACGTACTCACTACATGCACACCAAAGGTTTCGCGCGCTCTTGGCGCTGTGGCATGACATCGCTGTGCACAGGCGCGTTCATCGTAGAGTCGTTCATGTTCTTCGTATAGTCATTGACGATCCGGTCCCACTCTCTTCTATCACGAATCACCTGCGGCGTGACACTGTCGACGCTTTCGACTATGGTGCCGGCTACTGCAGACCACACACACCCCGCGTAAACCTTCATGGTATATCGTAGGAAGTCTTGTGTATTGCAAGTCGACACATTCGACTGCCTACTCCTCATCATGCACCAAGAAATGACTCAACTCGGTGCTAACACCCGTTCTCAAAATCCCGGTCGTCGCTCATTGCTTTGCCCTCTCACTCTGTACGGTGTAGCGCCGCTTCTTTTCTACTGATCATGACATCTTGACAGCTTTGATTATGTTTCGTCGAGTCCGCACGTTGTAATCCGTGTTATCGGATCCCAAACGTATTCACCACGTTGTGATCCGTTCTATCGGATCTCAGAGGTATTCTGACATTCAGCCAGCTACGGCTCAGCTAGTCAAAGGCACATCGCATTCTTTCATCCGTGCGACTTTGCGAGTCAAAGAGATGGCGGAGCAACTGGCAGCGTGCGCCACGCAGCTGATTGAGGGTGTGCCAGGCAGTGAGGCACAGTACGCAGCCAATACGTGGCTTATGCAGTTCCAGGCCCATGAGGAAGCGTGGCAGGCAGCACTGCAGCTACTGGACGAGCCCGTGTGCGACCCGATCACGCGCTATCCATTGGACGCCCCGCAGCTCGTGGCCATGCAGATCCTTCGACTCAAGACTCAGCACGAGTGGTCGTGTATTGACTTACAGGTGCAGCAGACGGTTCGGCAGGTTGGTCTTGACTGGATGTTACAGGGTGATAGTTGGTTGTTGAAGCTCAGTTATTGACAGGAGCATGAAGTAGAGTGACAAAAAGTGTTGCTATGTCACAATTGATACAGACGCTACTACGACTGCTGGAGATTGCATGTATGACAGGAAACGGCCTTTCCGCCGTGAGTTGCCGCATTGCCTGTGTAACGTTGGCAGATATTGTGGTCAAGTCGTGCAAAAGCTGGACAAACTGGAAGAGTGAACTGCAGCGACTTGTAGACGCAGGTTTTGCTGCTCAAAGGTCTCAGAAAGCAGCTGTTGTGGTGCGATAAGAACGTGTGCGATTGCGGTTAGCTTGCTCCACTCGTACAATGACGAGTATGTTGCAGTTGGCCAATGTTCTAGGAGCTATTCCTATACATATTCTGGCGTTGGAGACAAAGTGGACGACAGCGGAGATGCAGGAAGTACTGAAGATTTTTCAAGCTGAAGCAAGAGATGTCATGACGGCAATGCGAGTGATCCTGACCAACATGTACGCTATGCTTGTACTGCTGCATGGGTTTGTCGGTCCTTTTGATCTTTCAATGATTGCAATGTCTTAGACCAGATGAAAGAAGCAGCGCTCTTTGCTGTCTACAAAGCTGGGTTGTGGGCTGCATACCGACGCATGAAACGTTCGGTTTCACTGCAGCACACCTATTCTCCAGGTATGGTATTTGCAATCGACAATCAATTGCAGGTAAGATTGAGTCAATATGATCGCAACAACCTGACGCGTGTAGTTTGGCTGTGTAGTGGACTGCTTGACGAACTATTTGATATTGTCATTGGTGACAACGAGGATCAGGCACAAGTAATATTATTTTTATTTCGCGTTCAATAACAACCACTGACATTGGCATACGCAGCTGGCGGCAGAAATTATTACGGATTCTTTTCTATGCTACGTGTCCGATGATGGGGTCGGAAGTATGGCTGAGACGGTGTTGTACTCCGGACGCCGTCTGATTGAAGCGATGCCTATTTTTGGGTTGGATAGAAGGTCTTCGGAGGGTGAAGTGATGACGAAGGAGCATCAGACAAGCGCTTGCAGAGGTTTGTCACGCATCGCTTGCTGTCTAGCTATGAACCACGCGGCTGTACTGTTTTCAAATCAAAAGACAGGCACTCCAGTGTTGGTTAAGAGCCCTGCATCTAAGCAGCAAGATTTCTCCGTTGACTTCTTAGAACTGCTCCTAGCATGCTCATCGTACGAAGACATTTACGTCGTCCAGCCTACGTTGGAGATCTGGTTCTTCTTTCTCGAGTCAAATGCCTTGCGAAATGAAATATCATGGCATCGTCTAGATACCGCAGGGCAAAAGCATGCAGCCAGCATATTGTCACGCTTGGTGGATGCGCTGATTAGGCAGTGCAAGTACCCGCAGTGGTTCATAGAAACACACGAAATCGTAAGCGATGACCCAGATATCGAGGCGATTGCTCAATTACGCAGGTAAGTTCTGTGGAATGTTAACGGTATACTTAGGTGCTGGCGTTGGTTGGTTATGGCCTCACAAAGTGTGTGTGTGGGCTCAGGGAAATTGCAGACACAATGCTGAGTCTTTTCTCCAAATGGCCAGGACGCCCTGGGGGGTCTGCGGGAGACTACGCCTCGTGTGTGAAGGGCATATGCCAAATGCTTGTGGACTGCACGGACGTCGCAACGATTGATGCGCTTTTTCATTTGCTCTCGTCTACTGTTGAGTTGTTTGATGCTGTATCGTCGGATTCAGAATCCGAAGAAGTCCCCGACCCGTGTGGAACTGGTGCATCAGGTGGATTCGGTTTTCTGTTCGGAGTACTAGACTGCGCTGCCAATCTACCCATGCACCCTTTGGTGGTCAGCGGTACTGCGCGGTACCAATTGTCTATAATCAGCTCAAACTGCACTTCCTTGGCTAAGCTCTCTTTTATGGACAGGTACTTTGGATCACTGAGTCAGTCACTTGTGTTGCCACCAAGTGCATACCTATGCGCTTCAATGGCCATTTGTCAAGGCCTCCAGTGTGCTTCTTCTTTCCCGGTGGCGGCACAATCGTTGCTGCATAGCAGCTCCTCTATGGTGTAAGTAGTGGCAAAAAGAAGATTGCTGTTCGTGGACAACGCTAACTTCGTTCGAATTCTTATGAAGTAGCACATGCACCACCATTGAGGAAAGAATGCCGCTACTTCGAGCACTGCTCCAATTTCGAACCGCGTGTCAGCTCAAAACATCTCAAAAAAGTGAAGGCGATTTGCTTGAAGTGACGTTCCGTGTTGCTCATGGCTTGTCAGATACAGGTTTGCACGAAAAGCGGGTATGTGTCGCTGCAAAGTTCCTCACAATGTTATGTGCGTGTACGTGTAGACTTTGGTGCTTTGTGTTCATCACTTTTGTCCGACCTGGCTGTTGGCGTGCAAAGCGCAAATCCGCTGGATGTTTCCAGGAGCGTGTACATGTTGAGCCGAGCTCTCGTGGGTGTTCAAGACCGGCAGCACAGGTCTGCATTGGTTGACCAGCTGTGGCCTCTCGTGAGTCCTCCTTTGTTGCGGCACAGCGAGAATAGCGCCTGTCGGCGTGTTGGGGTTCAGTTTTTTCTCAGCGTTCTCCCTTGTCTGCAAAAGACGGCCTCTTGTGCGATCGAAGCACAAATACTTGATATGTGTCTTTTGTGGTATGAGAAGGGTCTGGCTCCCGACGTTCTCATATGCTGCTCCCGAATGATTTCCCGTCAGCGAGGGAATTCGGGCTTTCAAGCATCACTTGAGCAGGCATTTGAGGTTCGGAAAAAAGAGCGACATTTATGGCATTGCGATTATGGCTTATGTTTTGCTTTTTATCGTAGCGACTCCTTCTCGGGTTTCGAAACAAGCTTCAAGATGTCAAAGCTGGTTGTGGTTCATTGTCGATGAAAAAGCTACTTATTCACAATCACGATGCAGACCAGCTGATTTCGGAAGTGGAGCAGTTCCTGAACTTAACGCGGGAGATGTTGAACTCTTTCCCACAAGTTCTACTGCAAAAGCGTCCAAACGGGAAATTGACTCTATACTGGGTTTGTCTCGATTTGGCGACGAGACTCATAAAAGCGGATCATGAGGTAAGGGTTAGTCGCTGCTGACTGGAGGGGGCGTACAGCCGATTAACAAAAATTGGCGAACGTGCTTTTAATTTTGTAGAGGCAGGAAATATGTGATGCTGCGTGTGCGTTTCTGTTGGACGCAATGCGCTGTCAACCAGATCATCTTTCAGAAAGGTTGAGCACCTTTGCTTCTGAGGTTGTCCTAGTCGTCCTAGAGTTCTTGGGACCCAAGAGAGAGCATTATCGCACTCGGAACCTCTGGGACTTCCTGTTTCAGTGTCTGCATGCACCACAAATACCGATGCAAATTCGAGGCAAGTACCGTGCACTGTTTGTGACCGATTGAATTGAACTGATTATCCTTTGGTTGTGTTGTTATTCAGAGAACTTTCTTGCTGCTGTGTCCACCGTGGTGAGCGAAGGTGCTCTGAGCTCTCTCTTTCCTGCAGAAGTATGCCAGCAGATGCCGGGTGAGCTGCGAATGCGTTGTCAGCGACATCGCTTTCGACAGTATTTAACCCAGTTGGCTCAATACGTACAAGTGACCACCAGCTCATGAGCGTTGCAGCTAGGTGACTGAAAAGGGTTGCTGTGTTGTGATCATTTTGTAGACCAACTTGTCCTGGCGTTTTTTCCAATGTTGACGAAGGTTCCGTGTTCACTTCACTTGTCGCGTAACTAGACGGGAAATCGTCTGCTGAAATCAACGTCACAAACGGCCGTCGGGTTATACATCGCTACGACTGTACTCTTCAGTTCAACTGTTCGTATCTGAGATCCACAAATTGAGGTCAACATGCATAACATCTCGTTTGGGGTTTATTTTTGCTAGCGAAATCTTGGAGTACTGATTGCTCGAGGCGCGAACCACGTATCGATCAGAGCCGCGATAGCACAAAATGAGTCATCGATGAGCTTGAAGTCTCTTCATGCATCGGATTTGACCTTGTCAACTCTTCATGTTGACCACCACATCTCGAAAATCTCATCAAGACTTTTGTCGCCTGTTGATTTTCATTTACAGCGTTTACCGATCAACAAATGCCGCTCGGTAAAACTGCCGATAGTGAAAGGGGCCCTCAAAGCGAGCAGTATCCAAAGATGCCGCGTACGATATCGACGGATTCGAGCTTGGTAACATCGCGTGTAGCATGAAGAAACGAAGAAGCGCCAGATGACCTTGCCACCGTCTTTGGAGTGCACAACGTCGGTGATTGTGATCAAAATCTCTGGCTGGTACAGTTTTGTTGCGGCAGAAGTACCGGACGTGCAGCATCATGGTTTAGAGCTTGAGCTCGAGTTGACGTTAGCGAGTGAGAGCGACAATTCCTGAAGACAGCGGCTGTTTATAAGTCCAGTGCTGGTAAATTGCGTGGACAGGAAACACGTACCCAACCATTCTCAAAGCGTCTATGTTAAGGTCATGCAAAGCATCGACAGGAATGGTGGTTAGTGTGGTGATATGGCTCTAACCACGTTCGGGTCAAGGAACCGGTTGCTCGTTCCTTATTGCATGTGTTATTGTGGTTATATCGCATCGTTGGACGACAAATGAAAGTTACCTTTAGATACGCGGTCTTGACCAATTCCTTCGTCGAACGAGTGGGTTGGAAGTCCGTAAGTATCGAGACTTCCAATTCCGTCTCAATAGACAATCAAGACACGACTGATCGCGTTCTGTGTCCGAAGCTTAGAAAGTAACGTACATGGGCTTGTTCGACACATGAAAATGTCCGACACCTTGTGTATGCCCCCTTGGTGTCGCCGGACTGTCCGCGTATGATCGATGATATGGTAACGATACACTATTGAGACTTGCATAAATTGTTGGCGGACGATGCCATACATAAAGCACTACTACTGATGCACCGCCTGACTGATGCTAAAAACGAGCTGAAAAGGCTTCGAAGTAATTTGTCAATCTTGCAGGAGATGATGATCCAAAGCAATAGTAGCACCTCATTCGGCTCTTTAGCTGAATGAGTACGCCGTTTTCGATGCTGAAACCAGAAGTGATAGTACCTACTTGATCGATTTTAGTCCCAGCTCGTTTCACATAGGATTGGACTTGCAAAACGATAGTATAAACACTTTTCGTGCGCCGCTACTTGGTCTAGCCATCGTAGACGTGACGTTGCAACCAAGCACTTCATAAGCTGCACATTTGAAGTGAAATCATCCACATCCTGTCAATAAGCAGTAAAAACGCTTCGAGCTCATACATGGTATATCAAATCCTGTCTTGAAAAAAACTTGTGATATTGGTACAGTCAGCTGAAGGTTCTAGATGAAAGCATCTTCTGACAACTACAGCACGCACAGGTTAGTGTCATGGATTTATGAACGCCTTTGTCATACACGACGCATCATACATCCACATCCAACCTTTGCGTGCTGTTCAAGTTGTCAACAAGTCGTGTCCGTCTATAGTCTTCAGCTCACTGGACAACACCAAACGAAGTTTCACAAGACAACAAAAGCGTCCACAGTACGAAAGCCCTCACAACAAACTCATTCTCAAAGCCTCATCGCACAAGTACTACAATCCACGCCATGCCAAATGCCCGCAACCCACTCAACAAACAAACCAAACAAACAAACAAACTCCCCTCTGTCTATTTCCCTCCTCTCCTCCAACCTCTCTCTCTATCTTCATGTAGTCAAATGCACCCCAACAACATTTCCACATCTATTTACTCCCTCTCGAAACCGATCCCACCTCCCGGCCAAAACCTCTGGCCCGCGACTTTTGCCTCTCTTTCATCGAAATCTCTGGCCCCAATGCCTCCGCCCGGGTCTTCACAAGTGACTCGCACTCGACCTGAGCAGCCGCCGCCGTCTCCTGCGTCGCCCCGCCGTCCAGGCCACGCACCAAGCGACGGACTGCCGCTGCTTCCCTGTCATGACGCGCCCGTCCCCGTCGCCTCCTTCCCCACGCCCCCGCCACTCGCCGTCGCGCAGTTTGGCGCCGTCCCAAGTCCAAACGACGTGCGCGCGCAGCTGCTGGTCGCGCGTTACCGTCGCAATTCGTCCCCACTGCCTGAACCCGTGGCTGAAATGACGCTGCGCATTGACACGGAGCTGGAGCTCTTGCGGCGCCGCTGCTTTGCGCAACGCAACGCCCAATGGCGCAACGCAACGCCGGACGAGTTTGAGTTCCAGCCTGTGCCTTGTAACGTGTGGACGGACGTGGAGTCTCCTGCTAATGAAAAGCTCAAGCTACGGATGATGAAGGTTGAAGGCGTGCTGGACGGCAGTGGAAAGGAGTTTTTCTATGCCCCAGAGAAGAAGCACGACCAGAGAGACCCGACGCACGTGGACCAGTACGTGCGGGATCGGCCTTGGCCGCCCCGTGAATTTGCATTGAAACCCGTGACTAAACCGTCACGAGGGCGAGGCGGGAAACGCAAAGCTGCTCCCATGGGGGCGGTGCTGGATCCAGTCCCACGTGTGGCAAAAAGGTGTCGAGAGTGCGAGACGCAGTCGACGCCTTTGTGGCGGACACAAATGCGAAATGGTAAAGGGGAGAAAGCAGGGACGATGAAGGGTGCAGCTATGGTGGTTAATGGGATACTAGCACAAAATGTGGCCAAGGGTGCACTGCAGTTGATGGGTGGGAAGACGGACGAGGTGGTGCAGCAGGTTGAGGTGGATCTCTGCCTCGCGTGTTACCTTAAGCTCGAAAGAGCGGACTTGTTTCAACAGAAACGTGCTGACAAAAAGAGGGATGAGCGTCGCAAGAAGGAGCAAGCTGCTGCGGCGGTGTTGCAGGAGAAGAAACGGTTGAAGCTACAGATGCAATCACTAAAGAAGCAACAGAAGGAGCACAAGAAGCAGGAGGAGTTGACAGTGCAGCCAGTGGTTGAGGAGGGTGAGCAAGTTGATGAGGACGTGTTTGAAGACGATGCTGCTCTGGGTGCGGAGAGTCCTCAATTCATGAGGAATGAAGTCGACGCTGGTACGGGGTCATGGAAGGAAAAGAAAAAAGACCGGAAGCATAGTCGCAAGGATAAAAAGAAGAAGAAGAAGCATCGTCGCAAGCTTGATGATCTAGAGGACTTAGAAAGTGATGGTCGGACCCCGATTCCATCCCCTGCGCAGATGAATGGGTATGTGTACGCGGATCGAGACTCGGACACGCACGCAACTTCACTGGTTTCATCATTTGAGACGAATCAAGCGAGTCTAAAAAACCGGCATATGGAGACTGTAGTGGCTGAAACAGAACCGGAAGTGCTAGACGATGGTGCTTATGACCCAAAGGACGAAGCAGTATCTGCTGCTACTGCGAGATCATCGTCCCGGAAGCGCAAGAGTGTCCAACGAACCGAGCCGACTGCAGTGGTTGAGTCTTCTGTGTCTGTGTTGAAAAGGCGGAGCACATCTTCATCCAGGACCTCACGTTCAAAACAGACAGGTGCTCGTGCAACGACCGTTGCGTCAACTGGCGTGACTGTATCCCCGGCTGCTTCTGTAAGAAAGCGATCTCGTGCAAAAAGGGAGTCTGTGCGCGAGCGTGAGTTGCGAGCTCTGGGTCAGTACTGCCCAGTTTGCAATGACGTGTACGAGGACGACGATCAGAATACATTTGTATGCTGCGACTCTTGCGAGCTCTGGGTGCACGGTGCCTGTGATCCGACTCTTACGCAGTACGTTGTGGTGTATTGGTATGCTATTGTCGTTTGACCAGGCTAACAAACTAATGCTTGTGGCTATTTCTTGTTGCAGGGATCTGATTGCAGCGATGGCGAACACCGAGGACAAGTACGTTTGTCCGCTTTGTGCTGGGCGGTGAAACTGTTGCGCTGGGCTCAGGATGAAGATGGGACCGAAAGAAAAAGGAGCAACGTTCAACGTGCCATCTCGGGACGTTCGATCTGCAACTATTATAATAGACACCGACAGACGAACGGCCAACACGCAAATCAGCCGCTGTCTTGTTACTGCTGTTTTATTCGACGGATACACTCATAGACGTGCTCAGAAGATAAAATGTAAAATTGATTTGGGATCAGAAACACGTAATGGATTGCAGCATCGGTACTAGCATCGACAATAATGTCTTGCAATGCAACTTTTATAAGGAGGTTCGGTCAACTTCGCCTGTTGTAGAGATTGAGTACCGCAAAGCCATACCTGAAACCGGCGACTGTTATTTTGACTCTACTCTGGTCTGCTTTCCGTCAAGATTAGCAAGCAACAAGCATGCACATCAGTTTATTACTAAGCGACTAATCTCATGTTAGTTTGATCCAAACATAAAGATAACGACTTCGCAGACTTGGCCAATGTGACGTCCAGATCAGTGCACAATAAAACAAAAGCGACTTGCAGCGAGTACTTGAGCGACGACTAGGAAGTAGCACTTGCCAAATCGTTCCCTTTGCTTACCGTTTTCTCAGTTGCGTCGTATCACATATCTCAGTTCGTATTCTCCGCAGTTGTTAAATTAGGGAATGATAATAACGTCCAGCACGTCTCCACAAGCTCCACCGACAGCACCAACTTCAGCCCTTTTCGCCTCACTATGTCAGTACATCGCCCGCCTCTGATTGTGGCAACATCTACCTCACAAGGTCCGCACGTATAGAGTCACGAGGTTACCATGTTACACAAAGGGTTACATCGACACACCCGCCACCATTCAAAAACGCAATGTTAGCTCTTCGTGGGATCCGCCGGTGCTTCTCCACAGCAACACCGCGCAAGGGTACGACAGCGCGTCCGACCTGTACCCCTCCCCCGTCTTTTCCGTTCTCCAACTGTTGTACCCATCACATCACTTGACGCACGATCTCTCTGTTATGTATTGATGTCATGTACAGAGTACCCGACGTCGTTCATCTCGTACCTCCGCACGCAGAAGCTCAATGTGTTTAACATCGGCGTCGCGTTCCTGACCTTGTCGCTGTCGTCACAGATGGTGTCGTACAAACAGCGCTACGAGACGGAGCTAGGGGAGAAGCAGCAGCTCAACGAGAGGGTGGAGGTCCTGGAGAAACTCGTGCTAAGGCTGGGCGGCGTGCTGCCTGACGAGGCGGAGAAGGTCTCAAAAGAGGCGCGAGACCAAGCTCTCCGTGGTCGCGAGAACGAGGCCATGGCTCTTGCTGCGTTGACAATAGACGACAAGACGAGCACGAAGAGCAAGCTAATTTAGGCCCAAGAGGACACACGCAATGACGCTGTTCTCGTTCATAGAAGACGGCCGAGTAGGTGCAGTCGCAAGCCGAGTTAATGCACTGGTTAAACACTGGTTCACGCGTGGATTGCTTGCAAGCGCTGGAGAGGAGGACAGTGGCGCTTGGTACAGCATCTTCCTTCCATTGCAGGTTACTTCTTGATGGCCGATTGGGTCAGAGATCGTCTGGACGAGAGACTGTCTAAGCGGTTCATCTCGTTCACGGCCGTCAGGACCTCGTTAATGTTGGTCTCGAGTACCATCCCACCCATGACGATCTCGTCCAGCGCGTAGTGGATCTTGTCACTGTGGAAAATCAGGTCGAGCTCACACACGTTTTCAAAGATCTTGTCCAGCGTCTCCACAAACACTACATGGCAACGAGTCAGCAACTTCAGCACCCCTCCTTCCTGCATAGCAGAGCAGTCGCCACCGCACCTTGGATTAGGTCCAGTATACCGAGATCACTCTCCTGTTTGTCCACTGCAAAGACAAAGTACAGAGTCGCATAGTGCCGGTAGATAAGCTTCACCCCGTCGCCCCAATACCGCACTCTGCATGCACGCAAAGCTCGTTGTCAGAGTAAAAAAGCGCCCCCACCCGCCTAAAACGGGTCCTCTCCCAAAAGAACCGAAATGCAGCAGCAGCCCAGCAACGTACGTGCCCTCGAGAAAGTTGCACAGGGTGTCGGGGCGCTTGGACACTTGCGTATAAATGTCTCGGATCACAGCTTGCTGCTCCGCATCAGGCTGCAGATCCACACACCCACACACACACACACACCAGAAACACAATCACAATAACCGCAACACAATAACAATAACAATAATCTCCGTCAATAATGACGACACAAGTTCTCTCGCTGTGAACTTACCACGTGCTCGTAGAACTTGACAATGCGTGGCTTGCCGTGGTTATTGACGATCAAGATGCCCTTAATCATCTGCCCCACTCGGTCCTTTTGACCCAGCGACAGACACAAAAAATAGTCAAAACTCATCCGTTTTGCTGGTCGTCAGAAAAATCGGGTGTTCTGTCGCCATATTTGATTGGTGGAAATCCACGGACAATGCACGAATCACATCCAGCCATTTGATCACGCGCATGACTGAAAGCGGCCACACTCGCGTCGCTGCTGCTGCTGCTGCTGTCCGTCGTCCTACGACGTCGTATTACTTCGGCCTTGATACAGCTGCAGCACGAGAGCGACATCGACGTCTGTCTCCAGCAGAAGGTCGGATGATTGAGCGCTCGGAAGCGGTCGAGCGAGCAGCAGCAGAAGAAGAAGAAGGTGATGACTCGGACGTGGACGAAGAAGCGACGCAGATCCCGGTAGAAGACCAAGTAACGCAAGAATTGCAGACTGCTGAGCAAGATGTAAGTCCTCCACCTATCCAGAGACGTCTGTCGATCACGTCGCCGCCGTTGCCAATGGCTGAAGCACTGGCAGGTTCGCCGTCGGGACCGATTGCTGCTGATATGTCTCCGTTTGCCGATGCTGAGTCGACGCCACAGTCGAATGAAGATGAGGATTCGAGGTCAGAGACGTCGTCAGAGGTTAGTATGGGCTCTGGACGTCCTGGGAGACGACGAGGGGCGAGGGCGTGCGTGACGCTATCGTGTTCTGACCATCGGGATTTGTCTGAAAGACTGAAGAAAGCTGTGATGTGGAAAGAAGATGGAGAAGAGCGATTTGGTGAGTCTATGATTGGTGCGGATGTGATTCTGTGTGTGAAACGTAGTGGAAGTCAACAGGAAGCTCGTGGAGAGGGAGGTGCTGTGAGTCAGGACAGCAAGCATGAAGGCATTCGAAGATTCCATGCACATAGGTTTATTCTAGCTGCTAGCTCGCCGCCGTTCCGAGCGATGTTGACTGGAAACATGCGCGAGTCGTCACGGCGAGATGTGGAACTGCATGATATTGAGTCTACGGTCGTGGAAAAGATGCTGGTGTTTATGTATACGGGAGACGTGGTGCTGGATCTTAAAAGTGTGCTGGGGTTGCTGATCGCTGCAGAGATGTACGAACTGGTTGCACTGCGAGAAATGTGCAAGGGCTTTGTGCTAAGGTACGCTCACGAAGTGTTTTGCGACCCCCAAGTCGTTCAGCTACCGGAAAAGATTCTGCTGGAGCTTATCCCTCAGGACGAATTGCAGATTCGAGAGCTGGCGCTAATGGAGGCTCTCGCTATGTGGGGCGAGTCACGTATCGCCACTGCTGACAAGTCAGTAGGCGACTTGTTGGCGGACATGATGGAGTTTGTGCGCTTCCCAACGATGAGCGTTAGCGATCTGTATGGCAAAGTTCGGCCGCTTGTTAATGATGGAGTCATCCGCGAACATCTTCTCACAGAAGCTTTGTTCTACCATTTGAAGTGGGGATCACAAACAGGCATCTCGGCGAAGCGCGCCACACCACGTGCACTCACAGCCTCGCTGCGTAAGCGCAAGCGCGTATCGTTCACTCAGCATGTCACGTTTGAGACAGTAACGCAAGAAAATGAAGAATGAGCATTTTTATCAGGCTACGCGCATGTATCAATGCAGCTCGATTTGTCGTGCAACGCAGCGAAGCCGTGATTTCGTATTTATCAGCGGTGCAAAGCGCGTTACACCTTTCGCTGCTTCCGTGAGTCTACAATTTGCCGTGCGATGAACCAGCGAATTATTTACAAAAATTTTGCACGTGACTTTGACCGACTCCACGATGGGTCGCGTGACGGAGCGGTCTGCCACACACATCGTGACGTCAAATTGAAGAAGTTGACGAGTTGCTACGGACGCTGCCTGCTAGACAGAACTTTATTGCCAGACATGAAGGCAAATAAGCTGGTAAAGGTTGCAGTACCTAAAGAGTCGTAGACGAAAGAATGCATGCCGAATCAATTGTATTCGTTCATGCTCGTGCTAGCCTCGACCGAGTATTCGCTTTGCAAAACGTCCGAGGAGGAGCTTGAAATCTGTTGATCAAGACGCAAAAAAACATCGTCAGGTTTGATGCATCCCCGACGCATGCAAGTCATCCGTGATTCTTACGTTGAAGGTCCTTGCAGTTTTAAGAAATTGTCGAGGTCGCTGTTCGTCTAACGCAGCATACACCTTAGTCGCAGCGGCCGTCGATCCCAATTCTTCAGTAGTTTTCTCGTGTCGATGGAATCATGCTGTCTTGGACAAGTAAGTTAAAACGTTTGCAGCACTTGCATCAGTAGCAGTAAAGTCTGTTCACGATACACCCGGTTGGAAATCTAATGGAGCCGAGAGAATACATTAGAGCACCGCAATTATCACCTCCATGGTAGCTGCAAACAAGTCTGAAAAATACTTGCCTTCCAGCCAAACTCAATGAACATATCCAAGAAAGTAAGGACGTAGTGGAGCGGAACCAATTCGCCCTTCGTGAACAGTATCAAAATCCAGCTGCAGCAATGGAAACAATGTCAATGGTACTACTATAACATGGCGACGCTGTGAGATCAACAGGTTTACCAAAACGCACAAGGTGATACGCAACCGAATGACTGTGTGTTTAGCCGATGAACATTGTGGCTTAGAAAACCTGGTCGCGTGAAAGTATCAGTCCGTAATTGCAGCAGCCTGAACGACGTCCTAGCTAGCAATTTCGCTAATAACGATTTCGCTCTTCGTACATGCATGCGGTACTAGTGCCTGAATAGCGAGAGATATCCATCAGCTGGGCATGAACCGACCGACCCGACCAAGAGTCTGCTTTTGCTCCACGGACGTCCCGTGTCTCTACAGAGTTTCAATAGTTGATGCACAAGCCACTGGTAGTTGTCAGTCTACACTAAGGCCTGTGTGTAGACCAAGTAGAGCCTTTGTTCGCCATGAAAGCCAAAGGTAGAATCGTACAACAACAGAGCAGCTGACGGAACGAAAATGCCGGCTTTGCGCCGCGTACTTGCAAGTGACGGTGAGGTTTACTGCCATTTAGGCAAAATGGGCAGACAGATGCGGAATCTCTGCAGGCAACGAGGTTGGACACTGCAGGGTATAGCAGCACTCAAAAAACGGCAAGCCACTTGACAGTATTAAACGAAACCGCCTCGATAGCATTATCCAGGTCGGGTAATGCAGCGGATCCATTCGACGTCATCCTCGATGAGCTTTTCAACCGTCTCCTTTTTCTGAGCAACGAGTCCCACGTTTCGGTATAAACCTGCACTGCATCTTGCAACCTCTGTAGGAAATAAAGCTATGTAGATGTCCCGTTATGGTCTAGTTGCTGTGCTCCGTCATCATCACCAGCAGCATCCTCGCACTCGACCTCATTTTCTGCTTCCTCGGTCTCCTCTTCCTCGGTGACCAAACCGGTTTGCCACAATTGACGACCTGCGAGTTTCAATTGCACACGTTAGTCGACTGGATCGGATCATTGTTCGCATCGATCCCAGAAGGAACTCAAGTCTGAAAGAACAATGAAGCTGTGCTGCTGCTGCTGTACCTGTAAGCTTCGCAGTAGCCTCATCTTTTAGTGAGACTTTCTTCGTGCTCTGCATCTCAGCGTTAAACCTCTCCTTCCAAATAGCGAACGTCTCAACTGTCACGGGTGTGCCTGCATAGGGTATTGCAAACAAGAGTCGTCAATAATATGGCACCACCGAGATGTCTATAACAGTCGCTACTCTTACCGTGAACTTCGCGCTGGTTGTTCTCTTCGTCTACAATTGCCTGTAAAAATGCAGCGATAGGTACGATGAAACAGCGTTGGAAGGTGCTAGCTAGTGCTTCTATGCCTGCTGTACTCCACTGTACCTGCTCAAGTTTAGTCGCCTCCACCTTCTCCTCTGTCTTCTTCTTTTGTTCCATCCGACGTAACATCTCCTGGTGCTCCGATCCGTCCTACTCAAGCGGAGAAGCAAGTACTCAAACTTGGGTCAGGTATGCACTTGATTCCCACAAAAACACTGGAAACAGATCAACCAAAAACAAGCAACGTACATTGCCCTCGCGGTTGTTTTCGACTAAATAATCCCGCACTGCCTCTGAAAGCGTGTACATCATGGCCATACCCATGTTCTCTTCAATCTGCTGATCCAACAACTCCTTAATCTCTTTAACTTGTCTGTCCGCCAAGCCCTTCTTGACGACGATCTCAAGCTTCACATCAAGAATGCCAACGGCTCGTATTACCAATCAGTATATCTGCAGCCTTACTACTGACCGCCAGCAACAGCACACCTTTGGTATCGCATCCGGGTACGTCTCTGATATCTCAGCCTTGAGCAACAATGACACTGCTCACCGTTGCAGTCAGAACAAACACACCCAACAGCCACGAATGTGACATTAAAAACCCTGCATGAAGCAGCAACCACCCCAAACTGAACTGCAGAAGTCGCTGAGCGCACCAAAGTTATTCTCGCCATCCTGGTTGGGCATCACATGCACTTGATAGATCAACGGCGCCTGGGACAGCTCTACCACCAAGAGAAAAAATGACACAACAAACAATCTATCCGTCTGGATTTGCATTCAACTGTATGTAACGATCAAGCCACTTGCGTACTGGTAAAGTCGTCCATGTAAATTGACTCCAGGGCTTCCACTTCCATCGCCTGTTCTTCCTTATAATCTATTCAAGAGCACAGAAGAAACAACAACCACCCGAGCAAGTTCCGAAGTCAGTCCTGTCTCCTGCATCCAGAAAGGAAGGCAATAACATGTATCCAAGTCGTGCTCAATTAGCTCCATCAGTAGTCAGTCAGTCAGTCGTACCAGTCATCTTTGAGCTGTTGCAAAGCAGCCAAGTGCTTCAAACCGAGGCTCCTGATTGGCTGCAAATCAACACGACCCCTGACGTCAAATTGAGGCTCATGATTGGCTGCAAACCGACACGACCCCTGACGTGTTTGATCAAACCTCGTTGATGGACGAAGACTACAAGCTCGCCAAAGAGGCTTTCGTGGCTGGCCTCGAAGGCACCAGCGCCCGCGAAGTGTTCCTCGTCTTTGCTATAGCTCCAGTGGGTATTCTACATTGAAGCTGCTATAGCTGCATGTACTTTGGGGAAAGCATAGCGACGAGGGACTGATAGAACACACCGATTCTACGTTGTTGTTGTTGTTGTTAGGGGAGTGTATGGCTTTATTCAGAGCTCCTGTTGCTGCTGGAAGTCGTGGGGCTTCGTCCACTGGGTGCCAATGAGCATTTGGTGCGTTTCGTTTGTGGATGATACGGTATCAATGGTGGGCGCTGGTTTCTTACATTTGGTGTACGGATGTCGTGACAGCATTTGGTGGTCCAGATCTTGCTGGAGTTCGTCGTGACGGTGGTGCCCACGATGATTGGCTTCACCTTCACCGAGTATACAGTACCGATGCTTAGTATGGTGTACTGCTTCGCGGCAATGCTGTGCGCATTGTCATGGCACCATGCTAAGGAGTATATCCACAAACACTGCCGAAAGGAAAAGATGAATCAGTTACTCGAAAAGGAGCTGCCGTTCTTGACCAACTTTCGAGCTCAAATCATGCTTTCAACGTAAGTGCACAATGGTGCACTGGCAATAGTACTAATGACGCGACTTACGCTGGCATTTTAATTTGATGATGCAGGTGCTTTGCTATTCTCGCAGTTGATTTCACCATTTTTCCTCGTCGCTTTGCCAAGACGGAAAACTATGGATTTAGTGTGGTAATCAGTACTTTTCTTGCAATGGCGTCTTGCACGGTATATCGTAAGGTGCTAACGCGTGAGTGACTATGGTCTTAGATGGACATTGGCGTAGGAGCGTTTATCATCTCGTCGGCGATCGTGTCAGCACCTGCTCGTCAAGTCCGTTCAAGTGTCGTGACGAAGAGGTACAAAGCACATGCTTATCAAAGAGCTGCAAATCCATTTGCCAACGTCAAAGATTCTGCTGACATAGATCCCAGTCTGGATGCACGTCCTCACATAGTTTTGCAAAGAAGTGCTATAATTTTCTTCGGCCCATTGCATTGGTCCTTGTCTTTGGAATCGCAAGGTTTCTGACTGTCAAGGGTGTAAACTACCAGGTATGATCATTTTTCGCGTCGCCACATGAGCTGCCACTGATGGCATCTGCATTGATCAGGAGCATGTGTCTGAGTACGGAGTGCACTGGAACTTCTACTTCACCCTAGCGGGTGTGTACCTGGTGTACTCATTTTTACGTACGCTTGGCAAATGGGCAACAAGCCCTGTCGTCGCTATTTCCATCGTTTTGGGTAGGTGGCTTGTGTTTCCAAGTGGAAACGTCCGACTTTTTGTGCGCTTCTCTTTCTGATCATCGTGATAATGTCAATGTGACAGGCTACCAGGTGTATCTTTCCCAATGTGGTGGTGAAAAGTACATTTTGCATGCACCTCGGGGCGATGACCTGATGAGCCAAAATCGTGAAGGAATCCTTAGCCTGGCGGGTAAGTCGATTAACGCTGAGCAAGAGGTGTGATCAACCACAAGTTATGATGCTAAGTTTCGTGTTCGCTTGTAGGCTATGCATCTCTTTACATGCTTTCCGTCAATGCAGGACAACGCATTTTCGCCAACATCGACGCTTACGGATCGAAAGCTCAGCGCAACATGCGATGGCTAGTGATCACACTTTTGGCTGTCACCGTGATGTTGTGGCTGTCAACGTACTTGTCTGTTCGACTAGTTACTCGTCCGTCTCGTCGAATGGTAAGCATTGTTTGTCATACAGTTGTGCTAACATCGACGCGGGCACATGTACCTCACATGTTTGAATGCTGTTTCTGCTTATGGTGTCTGCAGCTGAACATGTCGTATCTGTTGTGGGTCCTAGCCGAGTCAGCGTCGTTGCTGGCGATCTACTGCGTCGTCCAAACTGTCTGGTACGTGATCGTATGCAGTCATTGCTGCATACAAAACACTACCTCACTTTTTATGCTCGAATGCACGCAGTATACTACCAAGAGTTCCACTGCTCTTCCAAGGCATTAATCATAACCAGCTCTTCGTGTTCATCGTGGTAAGCAGCTACGTGATTATGGTCCATTCCGGTGCAGTACATACCGCACAGCTACTAACAACTGTTTTGGATATGCGAACAGGCCAATTTGATGACGGGGGCTGTCAATCTAAGTATGCATACCATCCATACAAAGCCCGCTGGTGCGTCTGTGGTGCTGCTGTTCTACATGCTGGCGGTCTGTGTGCTCGCCTCGGTGCTCCAGCATAGCCACATCCGCATTAAGCTGTAATGTAGCCATGTGATGACCATCCGGTACGGGTGATCCTCGAATTATCCATTATCACGGTCATTTTAAATGTATCGTTATTCACAACTCGATTGCGCGACACCTGCAAACGATGTCATTCAAGGGACCACGAACACGAAAGAAGCTTATCGTCTTGTAGCCGTCACCGGCTACATGATCAAAAAGATATGAAGTCGTCCACACGTGGTCGCAAAGCGGCGTCGAGAGCCAGCCACATATTTTGTGGTAACAATTTTCAGCAATACGTGCCACACATAGCCGCAAATTTCGTCGCTCATACTTCATACCCTGAACAAACCGCTAGTTTTCATCTCGAAAAGCAAATCAAAACAACTACCGATTTATAATATCCTGTCGAAACGGATGAACATGTCTATTTTAATTTTCTCCTTCGATTGCTCTCAACTTTCGAAAAATTGCTCCCTGAAAAACGGACCTGCTCGATGACATCACTCTTCAATTCGCATCCAAACCCGCAGCGACTGGTTGGTTGGAAGATCTTCATTCACGAAGTGTGTCATCCCCGACACGCACTGTCGTTACCGAAGCCACGATGGCTCCCATTGAGACGGACAAGGCTGTTTACACCAACGGTGTGTATTTTGTTGTCTTTACTACTGTCTTCACTCTCAAACGACTCACTTTATGCCAACTTTTTTTTGCTTATGTGATTGTGTAGAGGGGGCTTATCACCGCAAAGGTGCTGCTACCGATACCACCGATCAGGACGTCGCAACGTACACGTGGCAGGATGTAGCAAAGCACAACTCGGCAAAGAGCGCGTGGGTTATCATCCGCGGGGTGGTCTACGATGTCACTGGTAAATTTGATCTCAAATTATTGACATCTCTTGGAATCGACTTGTTGAAGAGGCACTTATTTTTGGGCTGTTTGACGTATCATTAGAATGGGCAGACCGTCACCCTGGCGGCCGCGAGCTCGTGCTCCTGCATTCTGGACGCGAGTGCACGAACACGTTCGACTCGTATCACCCTTTCTCGGACCGCGCGGACAAAATCTTGAGCAAGTACGCGATCGGCAAGCTTGTTGGAGGGGCCGAGTTCCCTACGTACAAGCCTGACACTGGCTTTTACAAGGAGTGCTGTGATCGTGTGAACCAGTACTTTAAGGACAACAAGCTCGACCCGCGGAACCCGTACTCGGGGCTGTGGCGGATGTTGGTGGTGGCAATCGTTGGAGCGATTGCCTACATGGGCATGAATCAGCTACTCTCCGACAACATCTACGCCCACTACACATGGGCTGCTGTGTTTGGTGTGTGTCAGGCACTGCCGCTGCTGCACGTGATGCATGACGCCTCGCACGCTGCTATCACTAGCAGTCCAACCGGCTGGACTCTGATCGGACGTCTAGCTATGGACTGGGTTGTTGGGGCGAACATGGTGTCGTGGCTTAATCAGCACGTAGTTGGCCACCACATCTACACGAACGTCCCTGGAGCTGATCCTGACCTTCCAGTGGACTTCAAGAGCGACGTCCGTCGTATTGTCCACCGCCAGGTGATGTTGCCGATTTACAAGTACCAGCATATCTACCTCCCACCCCTCTACGGTGTGCTTGGCCTCAAGTTCCGTGTGCAGGACATTTTCGAGACATTCATCTCGCTCAAAAATGGTCCACTGCGTGTGAACCCGCACTCGACTGGCGACTGGGTGGAGCTCATTCTATCGAAAGCCTTCTGGGCGTTCTACCGCCTGTACATTCCGCTGGTCGTGTTGCAGGTCGATCCTTCTCGCTTCTGGGGTGTCTTCTTTGCGGCTGAGTTTGTGACGGGCTGGTACCTGGCCTTGAACTTCCAAGTGAGCCACGTCTCCACGGCGTGTGATTATCCGGGTGACGAGAACGAAGGAGTCACAGCCATCAACGATGAGTGGGCTATCTCGCAGGTGAAATCGTCTGTGGACTACGGGCACGGTTCGCCCCTGACGGCATTTCTTACTGGCGCGCTCAACTATCAGGTGACGCACCATCTATTCCCGGGCGTGTCGCAGTACCACTACCCGAAGATTGCGCCGATCATTATGGACGTGTGCAAGAAGTACAACATCAAGTACACAGTGCTTTCCACGTTTACTGAAGCTCTGACGGGCCACTTGGACCACCTCGTCGTCATGGGCAAGATGGGCAAGCGCGTACCCATTCACATGGGCTGAGTAGGCACTCCACGGTTGATTGTCATTCAGACGAGAGCTCTTTGTTTGGTGATTTGATGAGGAGGATAGAGCACAAAGTATCCGATTGTGTGGTACCTCCATTGCAACAATCCATCCTTTCACTACGAACGCTTTACCTTAAACACCGCACCGAGTGCGATTTCGTTTGTCACCTACTGTTTACGTCCGACACTGTCACTAAATGTATCATAGACGTCGTACAAAGTGTGATGTAGCAATTATCTCTTCCTCATACATGTAGGTCGATAGGCATTACAGGTGTCACTCTTTGATCAAGTCACTGTTTGCGACTGCAAAGTGTGTAACGTCCATACATGCATCAATGCCCGCATGTCATTGGCTCAGAACTGATCAAGGGCGGACAGAAGGCTATCAAGCGAATGCTAGACACTCAGGGACAGCGAAATACTTGCACCTTTCGCATACAGTTGGTGTGAAGTGGTTTGAATATAAATTAGACAAAACATTAAGAGATTATGGTCACGTTTACCTCTCGGTAGCAGTGAAAGCTCGTTCCATTAAATTTTTCTTTATTGTGAATATCTGATTTGTCATCGACCGCATTTGTGGTAGAACGACGTTTTAAGCGGGATCATCTTTTTTCTTTCTTCCCTGACATTCGTATCTTCAAAAACATCAATAACCTTTACATAAACATTTGAGTCAGATAGATCTATCAGCACTTTAATGTTAGCACACAACACAACCCATGTTTATGCCGCTAACTAAATGAAACGAAACGTAAATAAACAGAACTTGATTCAGTTCATTGGACTGAAATACAATGAAAGAGGTAGCTAGCTCCTCTATGCCATACGCAATGCACAACCCGTACATTTTTGTATCTTGATCTAGTTTTCTGGACTATATTACTGATTACACCAAAAAGCAAGCTTTACAGCTAGCTCCCCTATCTTATAATAGGTCGTGTATGGACAGTAAAGCCAGCCTGTGAAGGTGAAAAGTGTAAGAGCTCTGTGACCCTAACAAATTTGTGGACGTAATTTTGTCGTCCTCACAGAGGTGTGAGGGATCACAAACTCCAATTGTATAAAATTAACAGACAGTGTTAGTATTTCTTCACAGCTAGGGGTTCTGAAGACATTCCAGTGAAACACCTAGAACATGGACATGGATCAGTTTTTGGTATGGCTTCGTCCTGCAGCATCTTATCCTGGGATTCCGCACATCCTGCATTCAATAAAAAAAATTATACACAATGCTGACATTATCTTAAGGTTATCTTCAACAATTGCTATGGTACATAAGAAGAGAGCTGTTGGCTCAATCCCTTTTTTGAGAAGATTCACTCAACTTTCTTTCGTGAAGTAAACTTTCAAAACAGCTAATTCCGATCGGTCAAAATGTGTGTGAAATCTACCTGGTTGTCATACCACATAAAATGGTACTATCCTGCTCAAATGAAAGGTCGCGTTAATGCATATGCATCAAAATCGTACCCGGTATGACATCCGTCCGCAAATTTCTCATCTCATGGCTCCTATTATTCTACGACATGCTCGGTCAGTACATTTCAATCATTCCGCACTCGCAGTATTCGTGACACAAAATAAGCACCGCTTTAAAACGACGCATCCTAAACTTGTTGAGAGTTGAATGGATGCCACAGCGGCTATAAACATCTCTGAATGTTCAATGATGACATTACTACCACCACTAATATTAAACAAATACAGCATAGGACTAAATTACAAGCGGAACTCAATTTCACGTAAACACGCACTTTTATCGTTTAAGACACTTATAGATATCAAAAGAAAAGGAACAGCAAGTTGCAGGATCACGTGGTGTTTATGATAATAGCAAATTATAATTAAATCCACGCGGTAGTATATTTTGTCGTTATTCTGTCTGCTGATCTTCTTCGTCGAGTGACATCTATATCGCTGTCTGCTGATCTGTTCATGTCAATAAATGCTGTTTTGGGCGAGCCTATTGCATGCGATTAAACCATGATACTTTTTAATTGAAATATTATCATAAAGGTTGATAACGATCGCGAATATTACCATAAGAAGCAAGATTCAGAAACACTTACTGGATAACTGATTTATGCCATCATCTCAGCTTGCTCTAGCAGTACAATCAACGATTGAGGTACACAATGAGTGGAGATCAAGACTTTAGCATGCACTTTTGTAAAAAAATTTAGTCATGTTAGGACTACACGTAGGTACATATATTAAGGGCTTAATTATGTTTAGTACGGTTTTGCTTTTACCAGCGTCTAGTCAGTTCCTAGTTGCTTTTCCTTGCTCTGCATCATTACAGAGATAGCGGGGCACCAGTCCCGCTGCTATCTGTGAAAGTAGCTCCACACTGGTTGTCCAGTTTGTCGACCTATAACCCCGTTAAACTTGGTAGCACTTTTTAGTCCGTCCAAGGGTTGCATAAACCATTCAATATGAACAAGTTATACAAAAAGGTGACGACACCTTTCAAGGCAGCCTTACAATTTACCTATAATTTAAAATGTCGGCGGTCGAACATATGAGTTCGGCCGTTGGCTAACAGCAGTCTAGTCAAGTTATACAAAAAGGTGACGACACCTTTCAAGGCAGCCTTACAATTTACCTATAATTTAAAATGTCGGCGGTCGAACATATGAGTTCGGCCGTTGGCTAACAGCAGTCTAGTCTCTAAGGGATAGGGACCAGCAGCATTCTGGATTTTAAATTCTTGTAACGAGAACCTGAAGCATTGAAATTGAAGTGGCCCTGCTCTTTTAACAAAATCACTAGCATACTGAGCTCATGAGACAGCAAATGTCTCAGTCTGCTTCTGCAGCGCCGACCCCTAATCGCCGACGCGAGTCTTGAAAGTTAAAGAGCTCCAGGTACTGCGGAGTCGAGAAAATGCCTGCTATGATGGAAGCTCGAAGTGGAAGATGCCATTAAAAATTGCCGCATCGACGATGATATAATGCAAGTTGCATTAACCAACCCACATTCTTCAGGTCCTTTATAACCTAAATGTTTAAATTTCCCATTACACGATCATAGCGTGTTTGGATCCTGACGGTCAATGATAATTTGCTCAGCCAAAAGTTGGAGCCGCTAAGAGCTAAGTTCAGAGCTCTTTTATAGCTCCTGAACATCAAACAAGATGAGCGTGACATTCGTGCTTACGTACAGCACTTAAGTTATCTTATAAAGTTGCATGGTAGCGAATTTTACAAGTGAAGTAGTGTTAATTACGATATTTTTACAAGGATTTATAGATGTTCCCGTAAGAAAAATAAATGTTACTCATCGAGCTTAAGTCGCTAGATTAATCGGTTAAAACTGTGGTACAGTACTTTCGCGCGATACAGGCTAATGCTAGCTTGAAACCCTGTCACTCTTTAGACGAGGAGATGCGGGATATCTAGAATCGATGAACCTCTATAGTGTTGACAGTGAGATACCTCGCTCTTTAAACAGTAAGCGGTTGCAAAGTGCAATCGCTGTCAGAATTAATGGATATACACCAACGAGTGCAGTGCTGTACGCCCAACGTCCCAAAACTTGAGCGAAGTGATCGACCGTGTTCTTAGTAGGGCAACGGACGGTATCGAAGCTGTTGTGAAGTCACAACAGCGTGGTGGGCCGTCAGAAACGGTCGGGATATGTAGGGGCAGAGTGCCCTACTAATCCAGACACCTCAACAGAATTTACAAATCTTTTTATAAAGTTTGCTGTAAGCTCGCGATCCTTTCACGTCTCTACACTGAGGGATACCTCATCACCTTTACTTTAGAAGTGGCAAATAACTGCAACTTCATACTTTTGTTGACATTGGGGCGTCGAACACCCTTTTTCGTCGCCAGACGCTGGAATAACGTAGGCTCAAGTTCGATGAGCGCGATATTCTTCCTACGAGGATGACGGTGCGCCTTGCAACAGGCGTATCGATATCGGTAATGGAAAGTTTCGCAGGCTTTAACTACACGTTAGAGGTTAGCAGTACAATGATGATTCAATCGTACTTAATTCGGACCAAAAAAACCTGCTGTCATCCTTTTGTCACCCTTGCTCAAAAGTTTAGAGCCAAGGGTCAGCTGGCAGCATTATAAAGTGAGGTTGCCTGACTCATGTTCATTAGATGTCCATTTGATGAACATCATGTGGCGTCCACGAGCGTGTGGGTGCACTGTGAGTGAAAGCGATGGACACACTTTTAGTGCGGTTGTTAGTAAGACTGCAAAAGAATGCAGCGTGACAACTAACCACAATTTAGAGGCAGATTTTGACAGCTGTGCGGATGCACAGGCAGCGCCAAAGTTCCACCACTTAAACAAGTTGAATGAATCGGGACATGAGTGCGCGCCTAGCGGGCGACATTTAAAGAAGAATAAACTAGTTTTCCGTAACAGGCAATACGGTGATCCTAGATCGACTGGACAGTCGATCGTAGAGGACCTAGCTATGATCGTGCAACCACAGCTGAGAGAAAACAAGGGATAGTCCTCACGTACTTGATAAAAAAAATTCTGATGCAACTATCGATGAGGTAAAAAGATATCATCAATATGAGGAAATAAGGTTTAAGCAGCCTGTGGAAAAAGGTTACCAATTTTTTTTTAATATGGAATAGTGTTTGGGTGCTTATATACTTGATCTGATCGCGCCTCCAAATTTTACATAGAAGATCACTTAGCTGCAGACGATAAAACCAAAAAGGTTATTGCAAGACCTGCGTAGTGTCAAGGTCACGTCGATCTGTGTACTCGTCACGCAGGGCAAATTTGTGACCGACTTTAGGTCACCAGTAGTTTTTTCCGAGAGTGTAAATGATTCTTAGCAGCTTATAGATGAAAGAAATAATCCTCGATGAGAAGAATCGGATTGATTGACACACGTACCAAGCTTGGGGTCACTTCCGGTAAATCTTTAATATTAGGATCTGATCAAATATGAGGACATGTACCCTTGAACTCGTGCCATGCGAATTGCTAAGGGATAGAGGCAATAGACATG